CATTTTGAATGAAATTAGATGTAACAGGGAGGACAGCGGTGTTATAAATAAGTTTGGAAAGGGCTAGTGCTTTTAGGATGACAATACGGCCATGTAGAGTTAAGTTCCTTGGGTACCACAGGTTAAGTAGGGAAGTCATTGAAGACAATTTCTGTTCAAAGTTCTTTTGAAAGGCAGCCTCTTCATCATAGGAGAAGTGTATAAAGTGGAACTCCCCTCCATAACTGTTGATTTTTATATCAATCTCTTTCGTTCTGATGCAAACATTTGCTTACATTTTAATAATGAAACCCTTTGATTTTCTCCCCAGAACGCTAGAAAACCTTTTGGGCGGTCGCATTATTAATTGTTTGGATAACAACCATTGTCTCTACCATTTGTGAATACCAATTGTTACTGAGGGTTACACATTACATCTTACTGTGAGGATAACCTATCATTGTCTACCATTTGTGAATATCATTTGTTACTGTAGAGATATTATAGCCCAACCATTACTGTGTTTTTATAACAGTAGATTGTCCAGGAAATTCATTTTGAGTTGATGATTACGTCGAATTGATGTTACTAGACCTTACTACATTTTGCTGAGATCCACATTTTTAATCCAAGACGAAGTTAGCGTGATTCTGTTTTTATTTCTCTCCTGCTACCTAAGAAAAACACAAATCTAAGTAGTTACCCTGTCGAGCAGTAACCAATCCGTTCCGACTTAATTAAGACTCAGCTTTTCATTTAGTTTGACGCAGGGAGTTACAGGATTCCCAGACAGCTGGGCAAATACACGCCAATCATGAAAAAAATTCTTGGACAAAATCGAGAAGGCCAACAAAATGTACAATTTATCTAAAGACGTCATGTCAAAAGGTAGTAGAAGATAAAATCCTGGACCTCGCATGATGTTAAGTGTTGTTGGATTTGTTTTTCATAGTCATCACGTCCAAAACATGTTATGTATTTAAACAAGATCGACCGTATGGCCAGCCTCTCCACCTAAATCACACTGACGAGACATGGAAAGAAGGTGTTGAATTTTTCAAGAAAGTCGTAAAATTGTGGGCACCTGACCCCAGTTTGGCGCGTCTGCAACGGTGCATTTTGTGGACACTTGTTTGATGTAGAAACCATTGAAATGCAAACCCTCACTCAAGGTTCCAACAAGGAACAGCTACTAAACAGGATAACCTTGTCAAATAGTTTTCTCAAATTTTTATTCGGTAAATAGTGCATTTTCTGTCATGGTCGAAAGCAGTTCATTTTCTCCTTGTATTTGTACATAGTTTCTCAAATTTCTCTTGTTGCGTTTGCACAGTTTTCCGTTTTTGATGTTACCGTAAGCCGGTTGCCGGTCACTTGGACCGTAGCAAACGTCCCACTATGTACATTCTGAAAAAAACATTAAATTTTCTTGTTGACTGTTGTTTGAAAAAGATCTGTGTTTTGTGTGACTTATTGCGTGACTTTCTTGACGCGATGACGTAATTTGACGAGTACCTGTCAAATCAGACCTAAGTGAGCGGATATGACTGTTACCGCAGCGAAGAGCTGACGACAAAGAAATCTACAACTTCTGACGGTCCAACTTCATTCACTGCCTGGACAGGAAAATTGTGTCGTTCGTTTTCAATCTTTCATTTTATTTTGTTTTGATTGTCTCTCCAAACAGGTATCAAACGTCATTGACGTCATGCATTTGCGTGCTGACTGCCGAAGGACGTGATTGGCGTCATATATTCGAGTCGTGAATGACCTTAGGCGATGACCGTTACATATTGTATACGTTCTTGTACATCTGGGTCCTGAGTGAAGTATGACGCGAACGTTGTCGTACATCCGGGTTGTAACACGCGTCATACATCCGGGCACCGCCCCTCAAATATTAATATTTCTCAATCCACTGCACTCGTCTGTTCTCGGGCACTCTTGTTCTCTCGGTCCCTTTTTTTCTCGTGTCACGCGTGAACCATTTACAGGGTGAAATTTTGCAGGGTTTCATGAACCAGGTGAGGCTACTTCTGTTTTGTCTTTCTTTTTCCTGGTGCTTTTTATTTCTTAAAGGGAAAGGGAAAAATGACTAAGTGGCAGAACATTCCACGAAACATTTAAGGCGTACCAGAGAGAGCAATATTAAATACGTAAGTACAATTACTCAGCAAGGAACGCTCAGGAATGAAGAACATGAAGTACCAACTGATTGCGAATTCCAGTCTCCGACAAAGGACTGAGCCTGCACTTTGCATCTCAAAGTTGCTAGGCAACTAATCTCGCCAATAACTCGGGAGTGTTCGTGCTATTCTCTGACTGGATAATAAAAATCCGAAACTTACTAGGAGTTTCAGCCGTCTTTGGATTTGCCTTTTTTTGTAAATCTTCGGAAGATTTACAAAAAAGGCAAATCCCCCCTTCCTCCCNCCCCCCCCTCCCACTCCACTAATGGCAGTTCATGTAGCTAAAATGAAGTGAATATCTTGAGCAACTTGGTTTATCGAGACACTGGTTAATTCTTACAACCAGAGTGGTTGGCCCTTTCATTAGGGAATGGAATACTTGCAGTGCTGGTTTGAGGAGCAGTGAACCGTAAAATATTACTTAACTTCAGCTAGCTCTTACGTTTTCGAAGGCGTTTTCTTTTACTGCTAGACGTAACAACGTCCATTTTATCCCATATGTCATCATCTTCACTGCTTTCCTCTTCCGCAACCCTTTTAAGTGATCTATCTGATGACACACCGGTGTCTCTGCTATCTGTTTGTGGCGTGTTCTGTAACACAACAGAGCACACATATGATTAGCTTCCCTTTAAAAGGACACTGTCGCCATTTTTAGCATGATTTTGAAAATCTCAAAAACATATATCGATCATTGGAAGCTGAACGATAATGGTTTTATTTTGTAGAGCAGTACTCGACAAATGATTAGAACCCATTAGGAAGTGAGGATGGATAACGATGGCGAGGATGGAAACGAATTGCGACATGGATTTTTGAAAAAGCGTCAGAATGTCAGTTTTTCAAAGGTTCAAGTTTGGTTAGAGCTAATTAAGTTCTTATCACATAAATTTAGGGACCATTTCGTGAATTTATAATAGTTTTAAGCAAATACATTGTGACAGTGTCCCTTTAAGTTATTCAACAACGGTGTTAAGTCAAGAAAAAGAAGGCAAAAATAACACAGTGAAAACGGCTCAAGCGTTCCGCTGTTTAAACTGATTTACACTGGAGAGAGGACGCTAAACTCAAAACGTTAGTTGAAAACCACCTTTTACTTTACCCTGGAGAAACGTAACATTTCATTACGACATTAGTGGTCATCTTGTTTCCTACTCTTAATCAGCTTACATGTAAAATAGCCAGAAAAATCTAAACGCAAAGCTCACCTAACACTGACTTCCCAAGGAGGTATTTTTGTAAATATAGGGGGTGCTAATTTGTGACCAATACACATACGACAAACCTGTTTTTCTATTTCTAGCGCTGAAAACAGCAAGCAGTTTAGGGCTGTCTTCAAGTAAACCTACAATTAAAAATTGTAAAATGAGCAAATTAATTGCACCAAGTTTAAACACAGATACTTTCACTGTAACAGTGCTAAAAGGTCTAGATAGTAGCAGACATGTAAAGATTTTAAGGAAAACGACCAATTTTTTAAGTTTGAAAGACATGTTTCCACAGAACTTCTGTCATCTTCAGTTGAATGAATGATTACAAAGCAAGTTGAATAATAAGTAGGCAACAATGCTAATTAAGACAAATAGTAACAACAGGACGTGAAAAGGTGTAAATTAAAAGGATAATTTTAGATTTACATGGTGTAATTGCTGATTGAGGCAAGGTAGTTCTTTTTGAATATGGATAGCCTCCTTT